ACATGTGTCTGCAGCTACTCCTCAAAACTTGGCAATCCACGTGTTTTCTTTTGAATGTAGTTAATACAGGATTATGTGGGATTTCCGGTAACGCCATTAGTGCATCCGTTGTTTGGGCTTTCTCAAGCAGATGCGCTTCCTTCGCAACGGTGGGGCGGGGCAGCTCAACATATAAACGGTATAGATTTACCGTTTGAAACAAGCAGACAGGGGGACGGACAGACAGACAGCAGACAGATGGGGGATAGATGGATGGTTAGATGGACCGATAGATGAATAGATAAATGGTTAGAGGAACGGATAGATGGATAAATAGTTGAATAACTGGATGGATGGATGGATGGATACATGCAAAGTTAGATAAATAGACAAGCAGGCAGGTACGCATATTGATAGAGAGACAAACAGACAGACAGACAGATTCATGAGAGCGAAGGATAACAAAGGGGAACACGTTGAGAAATGACATCATCTGTGGGTATATTACTAGCTCTCCCTCGTTCTATATTTATCTCCCCTGTAAGCGGATATATATTAGGACGCCACGAAACCCCGAGTATAACATGGATAAGTGGTTTATTTTTGGTGGCTTAGTAGTTAAAGCGCTATATTGCCTAAACAAAGGCGTAGGTTTAATTCCGACAGATTATTGTTTTTGAATTTATAATTATTGTGATGAATTGACGTTAGTGCACTCTTTATTATTTCAACCAATCTGTCTTCCATCGTAAAAGTGTTAGGAAGAGAGGGAGGAGGAGGCGAAGGAGGGAAAGAAGACGAAGAAGAAGAAGAAGAAGAAGAAAAAGAAGCAAAAAAGAAAGGAGGAGAACGAGGACGAGGAGAAAATGAGAAGAAAAAAGGGAAGGAATGCGCAAGGGAGGCATAAGAAGAAGAAGAAGAAGAAGAAGAAGAAGAAGAAGAAGAAGAAGAAGAAGAAGAAGAAGAAGAAGAAGAAGAAGATGAAGAAGAAGAAGAAGAAGAAGAAAGAAGAAAAAGAAGAAGAGAAAGGAGATGAGGAAGATAATAATAATAAAAATAATGACGATGATTGTGATACTGAAGAAAAAGATAATGATGACGACGGAGGAGGAGGTCAGGAGGAGATGGAATAACAACAAAAAGGAGAAGAATGACGAGAGAGAGGAGGACGAAGAGAAAGATGATAAAGATAATGTTGATGCTGGTGATGATAATGATGAAGAAGAAGAAGAAGAAGAAGAAGAAGAAGAAGAAGAAGAAGAAGAAGAAGAAGAAGAAGAAGAAGAAGAAGAAGAAGAAGAAGAAGAAGCAGAAGAAGATAATGGTGATGATGATGATGAAGAAGATAATGATGGTGAGGATGATGATAATGAAGTACGAGTATATTATTAGACTTACTGACACTTTACGTAAAATATTAACAGTATCATCTTTTCTTTCTATAAAATTTCCTGATGCAGATTTTCAGGCGAGGTCGACAGGATAGCTGAGTTAACACCCCCACCCCCCCCCCCACCACCCACCTCCCCAAAAGCCATCCAATCCTTGCCTATAAAAGGGGACCCCAAAACTTGAAACCACACAGAAAACTGGTTCTCTACTAGATGCTCGTTGTTGACTTTACGTGTGGGTTCTGGGGTCCTATTATAGGGAATACCCACTGCCTGCTCAAAGCATATAGTAAGAGTCGACTAATTGGGAGCTTCCTTCAAAGTTGGAGTGCATCTGCCTGAGAGGCAAGGAACCAACAGTCTGAACACAAATGGGTAGAATCTGTCAAACGGATGCACATGAAACACTGAAGTTCTGGAACATGACTGCAGTCCAGAAGTGGACGAACAACCAGAACTTTCCACTAGAGTTTACAGCTGGTGAACGCAAGGAAGAAGAAGAAGTTGACTTTACCTTCCCACTACTAATTACCAGTCCTCGCTGAAAAAAAAAAAAAACTCAAGGGAGAGGAAACAGACCATGACAAGAAAGTTCCCGCCACGTAAAGAAAATTTGAAGGAGACCCGCAGACGCGCAAGACTCCGCCCCCCAGACAGACAAGCACGGAAACTGCCGACACAATATTAGTCTGTGTTTCTCTGTTCACGGGCAATTGTAAATCTTCAATGCTAGAGAAGATACGGAACTTTGATATTGTGATATTATTGCAGCGTTTACTAAAACATGTGCGAAATATTATGCGCATGAAATTTCTAACAGCGTAGTGGACTATTCTTTTCTCAGCTCGGTTAATATATAATTTTTTACAGGTTGTGATTTCTTAACTGAAAATATATGGAAATCGTTACTTCACGAAGAATAAATTTTTAGTTATAATCAGCATTTACAGATGTAGTGGATGGAATCAAATCACTGATTTAAGAATCGACATAACAGCTACCGAACCTACCCATAGATGTTTTGTCTCCTGCAGCAAATGTCTAGAGGTGCGTATTATTTCAATAGAACACTGATTGTACACATGTAGTGTTCTTCCTCTAATTCGTTATTTCTTACTGGACAAACTCTT